TGAGGATAAGCTCCAACTAGGGGCAGAGAAGTATTTAAAAAAAAACCTGATATGATTATGAATAAAACAGCTTTAAATACATCACAATATATTTCTTCTGGGACCTTTCATCAGTTCGGATCTTATGCTGCATTCAACTTGAGATTGCAGCTTGAAATTACTAACCTCCAACCAGTAAAATTCAAAGAAAACACTGCCTCATCTATGAGTTCCTTCCCATTTACGGACTGACATCATGTCAACATGGTGCGCACAGCATCAGAAGCAAGCAAAGTATCACTTTTCATTTTATCTTTAATAAATGGGTTTATTAATGTGTTGCTGTTTGACATTTATTTAACATTCATGGAAAGAGTCTTGTTTGTAAGTTCTTTCTAACAGTCATGGTGTCACGGTTCCCCCATGCAGCGCGTGTCAAACGCAGTTGCGCATGCACAGACATCGTCCATGCTGACGTCATGTCTTCGTCCCGTTGTGTCATAGGTCATAGGGTCATGTGTGTGTGCGTGTGGGAATTGCGCACAGCTGCAAGCTTGTGGGACTAATGACAGGGATCTCTATATATACCGTGTGCCGTGCTCCACACGGCGCGGTTCAATGGACGTTAAGAGACATTAATAGACATTTGTATGCCTATGTGAATGCACCTCCATAGAGTAAAGTGTAATCGTAGTAGTCTTCGTTCCTTGTTTGGGTTTTAGCATTAGCGTTAGCCCAGTTAGCAAAGTTAGCTAGCTTAGCTTAGTTGTGGTTTTGCCTACTCCTATGTTTGTTCTGTTCACACTTCACTGGGAATAAAGTTCACCGTTCTTCACTGCGATTGCATCCTGCCTACTTCCTGCGCCTCCTGGCGCATAACAGATTGAACTGCCCTCCACGCTAAGTATCCCCGCCTTTGATTCCATGCGCTTCGCACAGAGGACTTTCGAGCACATGCCTGCGCTGTATGATGGCCTGAGTTACCCGGATTATTTCGCGATGGAATGTCAGCAATATTTTGCCAGCCTGTGCGACCCGAAACCAACAGAAGGACAATTTATCCTGTTCATCATGTCTCGCCTTTTGGGTTTTGCTCGCACATGGGCACGACAGATAGTGGCTGAGAGACCCGAGGTGCTGGAGGATATTCGGCTGTTTTTTGAGCAGTTTTTTGAGGAATTCGCAGAACCAGGGCAAAAGTATGACCTGGATAAAGTGCTGCGAGAAGGTAATTGAAGGATTCATGCAGAGCCTCTTCTCCACGTGTACTATGAATGGGCGAAACAGAGAGGGGACAAGGGCAGAGAAAGCTACAGTCAAAGTTCCAGTCACAGCCACGCCATGTCTCCGGTCCAAATCACGTCTCCTGTCCAAGCCACGTCTCAGGTCAAAACTACTCAAGAATGCTGGTTGGTGGAGGCACTATTACGGGACACCCTGGTTTTGCTGGAAGAAGAGGTACTCCGGAAACGAGTCTTGATGACAATACAGGCGCAACTAGACGAAAAGGTGAACCAAATGCAGCTGGAACTGGAGGGTTTACGCAGCACTCTATCTGAGCAGGAGGCTCAACTCACCCAAACCAGAACGGTTCCCGACTGAAGAAGTTAACTGCCAAAACGCTGGAACTAGAAAGCTCGGATAAATCGATGTCTCAAACTCATGACGTCCAAGTCCAGAACCAGTCTCAAGCTCATGACGTCCAAGTCCAGACCCAGTCTCAAGCTTATGATGTCCAAGTCCAGACCTAGTCTCAAGTCCACGTCCCTGTCACGTCTCAGGTCCCTGTCACAGCCCCGGCTCATGTGCCTGACCTCAAAGCCCAGTCTCACGTCCCCGACCTCAAAGCCCAGTCTCACGTCCCCGACATCAGCGCCATGTCCCTCGCTCAGGCCATGCCTCTAGTCCACGCCATGTCCCAAGCCATGCCTCTAGTCCACGTCATGTCCCAAGCCATGCCTCTAATCCACGTCATATCCCAAGCCATGCCTCTAGTCCACGGCATGTCTCTAGCCCAAGCCATGTCACAGGCCATGTCTCTAGTCCACGCCATGTCTCTGAGCCCTGTCCCTGCCATGTCTCTGAGCCCTGTCCCTGCCATGTCTCTGGTCACGCATCGGGCCCACGACCCAGCCATGGCCCAGACTCAGGTCCCAGCCAAGTCTCAGGTCCAGGTGAAGGCTATCCCAGAGATTTTTTTTTTGGGGGGGTGGGGTCAATGAGGACAGCAGGGCTCCAGCCTGAGGCCTGTGGGGAGGTCTCAGCGGTGGAGCTCCTGCCAGCCATGGAAACTGTCCTGCCTCCCTGTTCAGCTGAGGACGCCGCTCAGCAGCCCTGTTCAGCCGAGGACACCGCTCAGCAGCCCTGTTCAGCCGAGGACGCCACTCAGCAGCCCTGTTCAGCTGAAGGACGCCGCTCAGCAGCCCTGTTCAGCCGAGGACGCCGCTCACCCTTCCTGCTCTCCTGAGGACACCGCTCAGCCGCCCTGTTCAGCCGAGGACGCCGCTCAGCCTTCTTGCTCTCCTGAGGACGCCGCTCAGCTGCCCTGTTTAGCCGAGGATGCCGCTCGGCAGCCCTATTCAGCCGAGGACGCCGCTCAGCAGCCCTGTTCAGCCGAGGACGCCGTTCAGCAGCCCTGTTCAGCCGAGGACACCACTCAGCCTTCCTGCTCTCCTGAGGACGCCGTTCAGCCGCCCTGTTCAGCTGAGGACGCCGCTCAGCAGCCCTGTTCAGCCGAGGACGCCGCACAGCAGCCCTGTTCAGCCGAGGACGCCGCTCAGCAGCCCTGTTCAGCCGAGGACGCTGCTCCGCCCCCCTGTTCAGCCGAGGACGCCGCTCCGCCCCCCTGCTCCGCCAAGAACACAGTGCAGGTCCTTCCTGGCACTTCATATGACATTCGGCCCAGGGGCCCGGGGCCACCAAAGGGGGAGGAATCTAGGCACTCCGGGAGGAGTGCCTTTGGGGGGCGGTTCTGGCACGGTTCCCCCATGCAGGGATCTCTATATATACCGTGTGCCGTGCTCCACATGGCGCGGTTCAATGGACATTAAGAGACATTAATAGACATTTGTACGCCTATGTGAATGAACCTCCGTAGAGTAAAGTGTAATCGTAGTAGTCTTCGTTCCTTGTTTGGATTTTAGCATTGGCATTAGCATTAGTGTTAGCCCAGTTAGCAAAGTTAGCTAGCTTAGCTAAGTTGTGGTTTTGCCTACTCCTATGTTTGTTCTGTTCACACTTCACTGGGAATAAAGTTCACCGTTCTTCACTGCGATTGCATCCTGCCTACTTCCTGTGCCTCCTGGCGCGTAACACATGGTGCTTTGCAAAGTTTTCCAGCACAGGAAAGTCTTTAGGTGAGAGATGTTTATGCTTTCTGGTTCAATGATATAAAACAAAGAGAAATTGGAGAGAGAGAGAGAGATACTGTTGTGGAAATTAGTGTTTATTGTGGCTATAACATAGGCGAGAACAGGAGCTTACTTATCTCTTAGATGTTCCACAACCGTAAATCTAACTATAAACCATACAAACTCATGACGTGCAATTAATTAATAAATTAAATATTGTAATCATTGGCAAATTGCTGTGGTATATTTTGAATCTTGTGTCACATGTTAGTCATTATTCTGAAAATATTCCCATCTGTAGTTAAAATCATAGGTATTGTAATATGTTTTCTTCTATAGATACTGCTAATTTTCAGGGACAATAAATAAACATACACTATATGGCCAAGTATGTGGATGCTTGACCATCATACCCATACCCTTTTTTTCCCCCAAAAAAACATTCCAGTATCAGTGCTTTGTAACAATCAGAGGTAAAGCTGTAACATCAGGTTTTCTGCCATGCAAAAGTATTCATGACGGAGGACAATGTACTTTGCGGTTTATCTGTAACAAGCTGTATTTTTGTCTTAAGTTTAAGAGAAGATAAAGGGGAGGCTAAATGCCTGTTTATAGCTACTCTAACCTAGGTGATAACAGGAAATATTTTATTTAATGGTGCTTCCACAACATTAAATGTAACAATGAGCATGATGTTCTTTGATAAATTAAAATAATAATAGCTGTATAATACTCTGTTATAAGACGAATAAAACACTTTGGGAGATATTGTACTGATATTAGTACCATCTTCTATGCATTATGTGACATGATTGCTACTGATTTCAATAAAGAACACATTTATAAACATTTTGTTTAGCAATATTTAACTTCTTGATTGAGAAGTAACTGAATAATTAAGATGTGTTAGCTTTTTACATATGTTGAAATAACAAATACAGATTATTAGACCATATTATATTAAAATGCAGGGCTCCACAGGCACTATAACAGCAGCACAAATGCCAGTTTCACTAAATAAGCTCTTTTTGGTTGAGTAGGAGAGCTTATTAGTGAAGCCAGGTGGTGTTTGTAGGGGATTGGAACAAATACCTGCACACACTTCAGTGAATAGCATGTTTCTTTCCTTAGGGCATAAACAAAGAACATTAGACATTAGTACACGGTGCTCTTGATGCCTCTTGATGTGGAACTAGCACTCCTGCATGGAATCAGTGTCATGAATTGCAATTTGAATCCAGTTCTTTCGAAGAGATCATTCAGCATTCAATCCATCAAAAAATGTGCAGCAGGAATGACCTTTCAGGAGAAGGGCATTAGTCCTGTGGGATCCTTTCTTATAGGGCAGAAATGGAATAACAAGCCGATATGGTAAAGATCAAACCTGTCGGAACTGATTTAAAATTTCAGATTCAATCAATCGGCAGTTATGACTGTTATCAGAAAGGGAAACTTCATTTAAAGCTCAGTCAAGGCTAGAGTGCCACAGTAAAATGTAGCCCTAGCTGTGACCAAGAGCAAAGTATACTTTCCATAATATGTGCATATCCAGTTAAATAAATATTCACCATTAATTGTTTAGCCATTAATGTTTAGTTCATGGCTATACGTAAGACATATCCATTTAAAGTGATTATGTTTTGTTTCACAGTGATGCTTCATGTGACTGGGGATATGGTGGATTAGTGGTTAGCATGTTTGCCTTGCACCTCCACGGTTGAGGGTTCAATTCCCACCTTTGCCTTGCATGCTCTCCCCATACTTTGGGAGTTTCCTTTGGTTTCCTCCCCTATCCACTGATATGCATTGTAGGATGGCATCTCTAAATTGTCCATAATGTGTGTGTGATTGTGCCCTGTGATGGGTTGGCACGTTGTCCAGGGTGTCCCCTGTCTTGTGCCCTGAGTCCTCTGGGATAGGCTCCAGGTGCCCCATGACCCTGTATAGGTGCCGAAAATGGATGGACTTCACGTGACTTAGATGGGACATCTGTTTTGCATTTGAAGTGGAGAATAAATGCGTACATAGTCTGTCGAATCATCATTAAACATTCTGTTTTTGTTGTCTACTTTAAAAAAAAAAGTAATATCATTAGTTCACTAATTACACCAGATAGTTAATCTGTGAGAGTCTGTGAAAACACTTATTTTTCTTGATGAGTTGCCTTCAGCTAAGTAATTTGCATAAATGCATCTGATTGGATAAACCACAACAAAGAATGCACTTGAAAGTTGCACTTGTTTATATTTATGAAACTTGATCGGTTCTGTTAAAGTATTTTTCAAGTGCTTAGTTTAATCTTTTGCCATACTTTGCTAGATTTGCATCTACAATACAGACCACCAGTTAATTACTGGTATGCATGGTCTTTGATTTTTCATAGAAATCCAACCAGTATGAAAATTTAAGGACATATTCCACTAAACAAATAATTTTAAATCATTACAAATATTATACAGGTGCATCTCAAAAAAATTGAAAATCATGGAAAAGTTTTTTTGTCTCCCCCCTAATTTAATTCAAAAATTGGAACTTTCATATATTCTAGATTCATTACACATAAAGTGAAATATTTAAAGCCTTTTTTGTGTTAATCTTGCTGATTATGGCTTACAGCTCATGGAAATAAATAAATCCAGTATTCTGTGTGTGTGTGTGTGTGTGTGTGTGTATGTGTAGGCTACCTATAGCTCCCATATGTGTTTGTATCTTCTTGCTACTGCGTACTTTGTGTGACCATGTGTGTGTCTGTGAGAATGTATGTATGTGAGAGGTCTTTTTTTCCTGTCTCTCTCTCCATAGTGTGAAATGTAAACAAAGATTGATTCAACCTGCCCAGAGATGATCCAGAAGCTAAAAGGTCATGGAGTGAACTACAAGAGCAGGGTATGACAATTCCTCAAGGTCAGAACGTGTAAATCCACAGGGTAGCCCAAATGCACAATACACACATTTCCACAAAAACATTCCCTGCAGTCAGAGAGGCACCATTAAAAATGAGGAATGGGCCTGGGGACAGCAGGATTGAGGTGACAGCTGCAGAAAGCTTTGGAGAGCTTTGGATTATTGCAATGCTCTGACCCACTTTAGCAAGTGCACTCCAGCTCAAGGATATACGTTTTACAGATGACATTAGACTTCAAAAATGTGTCCAGACAAAAGTGTGTTTATTTTCATTACTTATAACAAACAAATACATTTTGTCATACATTTCTAAGTTTATCAGTAACGTTTATCAGTAAAAAAACAAAACAATAACGCAATGCAAATAGGATTGTATTGAGTCAATATCAGATACTTAAAAAGTTTTTAAAAAGACATATCAAGTTTCTTTCATGAGCTACCAAGTGAATGAAATGTATACTGTTAGTGCACTTTTGAAAAAATGTAACTGGTGTGCAAACATGATATTCCAGTCCCTCTAGGATTTCATGATTTTGTAATTACCACAGATCTGTAAATTGCATCCCAAATTTTGAAAAATGCCACGGCAAAACTAAAGGGCAGGGAGAAAATGCTCTGAAACAGTTTGTTGGTAAACTGACAAACATGGGATTCTAAGTCTAAGACTTTGGAACAGAAATACTGTAGATATATAGAAAGTGTTTTGCAGACATTCCCCTGATATAAATTTTGAGAACTCTTGATATGTGGACTTCTCAGTGCAGTAGATTATGACAAAGTTGAGGCTCAACAAAAGAAACAGAAATGAAATTCTGACAGTTATATATTCTGAGACAGTACCTGTGGATACCTAGTTCTGTTTAAAAAAAAAAATTCTAAATTCATCAAAGACACTCCGTTCACATCATTCAAAATACTACTTATCAGTTACAAAGTACTCAATATACTTTATTTTCTGCATACCAGAATTTTTTCATTCAAACCCTCCTACTTGCACTCTCATCTCCTCTGACACCAGTCTTGCCCACAATCCTTCATACCCAGCTGTCCTCCATGCATTGCAGGATTTTCTTCGCTGTAGCTCCAAAACATTGAATTCACTCACCCAAGACAGTGCCTGCAACAACCGAACATTTTTCATATCTCAGTTGGAAAAAAAAAATGCTTCACATCATACTACAGCAATTTCACCCCAAACTGTCTCCCGTAGTCATCGGTGTTGGCATAAATCAAATACTGTGCATTGTTTCATCCACTTTTCATCAAACAGATCTTATTCAGACTGAGCAACCTGGCTATACTGTGTGCATTCATAGTTCATTGGTGTAAGAAAAGTGCCAAAAACAGGTATGATGATGATGATGATGATCATCATCATCATCATCATCATCATCATCATCATCATACCTGTTTTTGGCACTTTTATTATACCATGATTTTAAATGATCTCCAGTAAAAAAAAACTACATGGGTACCACTGCTTGTTACCATCTCATTATTGATCTGAATAAATGCAGATAGCGTAAAACACGGTTGTAAATGGCTTTTTTAAAGAAGTGCAGCACCGCTACACAATTACAGTAAATTAATGTAAGGCTTTTGTAATTACCTAATGGTCTAAGGGTGCAGCTAAAGCATTCCTGTTATTCATATGCCTATTTCATCAAAATGGTGTGAGTCAAACACTAGAGAAATACAGAACAGAAGGCATTCTACTCTGATGAATCACAACACTTCGTAATTGCATTCACATGCTCGCAATTATACATTTCAATCATAGTCTCAATCATAATCATAATCACAATGTGCATTTATAATTTCTTTCACACTGGCGCAACCCTGCTATCCACTATGTGCACCAGCAGCATTCATTAAAATATCCGACCTATGTGCTACCACTTCAAGGTTTATAATTTATATATTTTTAGGCTAAAATACATACTTCAAGAATACTTTTGGAGGTCTGATTTTTGGTGTACAGGTTAACAGTATTGTATACTAGGGTATAGTGACAGGAATATTAATGTGTACATATGTTGAAACTACTATTCCTCAGATTACAATTAGCAAAACTCATGACTATAGTTATTAATATTTAGCTTAGTTAAAATTATGTTGACACAATTTTATCAACATGCTATCACCATTTAGTCTTTGAAAATCCCCTTTCTTTACTGTCTGTTAATTGGTTAGTTGGATTGGCGACTAGATATGAATGAATGAATGAATGTGTGTGCATGGTGCTCTGCAATTTCCCATCCAGCATGTATTTCCAATTTACACCCAGTGTACCCAGGATAGATTCTGGATCCACAATAAACCATACCAGACTAAAGCAGTTACTAAATAAGAAAAAATAAATCTCCATTCTCTATTTTATAGGTGATTCCAACACTTTACTAAGTGATGTTTTTATATGAGTTGTTTGAGGGTAAGAACTTTCCTGAAGGGCATTACAATTTGATGCATGTTCATACTTTAAATGGTACACTCTTTAAAACAATGCTAATCAAATTATAAAAGATTCCTAGCTTTATAGACTAATCCAGTGTAAAATGGAAACCCTCTGCATTATGATTCTACATAGAACCTTTAAGATTTCCCCCAGTGGAAAGACTGAAATATATAACTTTCTAGACAACTCCTCTAAGAGAGTAAAAATAAAGTGAAACTATGTAATTGAGAGTAATGAACTTTTGCTTATCTCATGGGTAATATGGCAGTGCGCACAGATGCAGCGGCTCTATGCTCTCATCTATATAAACTCAGAGGACTGTTGTCTTCTGATAATAACAAAGACATGGCTACACCCACTTATTCCAGATGTAGCCACTTAGCTAGAGGGCCATACAGTTCAATTCAATTCAATTTTATTTGCATAGTGCTTTTAACAATGGACATGGTCTCAAAGCAGCTTTACAGAAACATATAAACAGAGGATACAGATTTTAAGTGTGTTAATTTATCCCTATTGAGCAAGCCAATGGCGATGGTGACAAGGGAAAAAACTCCCTAAGATGATATGAGGAAGAAACCTTGAGAGGAACCAGACACAGAAGGGAACCCATCCTCATGTGGGTAACAATGGATAATGTGAAAGAAAAAGAAAGTTCATTATGGTTTTTATATAAAGTCTGTTTATTGAACTAGTTCACTGTTCACTAAAGGACACTTGAGTGCAAAATTGTATGTGGTAATTGCACTCCTAATGCCATAGCAGCAACTGTAGACCCTTCAACCACAGCGAGAATGTCCATGTGGAATTGAGGTCCAAAACCATTTCCATGGTACTTCAAGCGGTAACATCCTAAGCAATCTCCAGGCTGTAGCCTCCAGTTGATAAGGACTCTATCCAGAGATAGGGCATCAGGAGGGATGTTGCTGGGATAGAAACAAAGACTCTGGTAAGAGCAAGGGAGGGGATGGGGTTATGCATTTCTGTACATAACAATTGGTCACTAATGCAAAAATCATTGCCAGACTCTGTTCTTTGGATTACTTAACAGTTAAATACAGACAGATTTATCTTCCACACGAGCTTACCATTGTTATAGTCACAGCTGTTTATACACCACCAAATGCTAATGCTAGCATAGCTTTAGGCTACCTGCTCAGTGCTATAAATTCAGAAAACAGAGCACCTACCCTGAAGCATCCCATATCATAGCATACAATCCCAGTATACACCCCCTTCAGGAGGAAAGCTCAACACACCATAAAGACTGTTAAAACATGGCCTGACGGAGCTTCTTCACATCTGCAGAACTGCTTTGAAAGGGCAAACTGGGGTTTTTGAGGTTGAGGACCTGGAGGAGTATACAACTGTACTTTGCTACATAC